GTGTGTGTGTGTGTGTGTGTGTGTGTGTGTGTGTGTGTGTGTGTGTGCGTTCTACTCTGTGACACCCCCAAGTACGAGGGAGAGCACCCCGTTTGTCCCCGCAGGCGTCCCTCAGCTTATCTCTTCCCGCTTCCCTGTTGTGGACTGAAGAAGATAAGACAACCAGTGTGTATTTAAAAAGTAGAAAGAAAAAAAAAACCGAAATCACAGCCTCTCCGAACCCTCGCCCTCAAAGCCTGGGTGGGTGGGGTTGTGCACGAGCAAGCGATCTCGGGGAGCAAGAGCAGCCCCACGGAAGGCGAGCGCGGGGCCTGGCGGGCGCCCCTCGCGTCGCCGCGCGGCCGGGCGGGCTGGCGGCCGGGCGGGCGCAGTGGCTGGGTTATGTAAGTAAGAGCCCTCCCTGCGCTCCGCGCCATCTGTTAATATCTTGATATTGGAAAGTTCGGTGCCTGCGGCAAAGCCAGGGCTGGCGGCGAACAGCTCCCAGCCTACTCCTTATTCCTCCAGGGCAGGGAATGCCCGCCCCTCGCCCTTTGTTCGTTTCTGTCCACTTCTCCACATCAAGCTGTCGTGTGGAGACCCCACTCCCGTCACCAACAGCCCCCTCAGCCCCGTGGGGTTGTGGTTTTCTTTGAGATCACCTTGTTGCTAATCAGTCCTTACTATGTATGTTTATGTTTGTGGCGATCCTGTGCCCTTTTATGGTAAAGTGGATGGGGGGGGGCTCTTTTTGTTCTGGTAGGGAGGTATTATTATTATTATTATTATTATTATTATTATTATTATTATTTTAATTACTTTTTCTGCCCGTCCTCCTGGCTCCCAACTTCTTTGGAGTGACTCGTTGATGTTTACTTTGAAAGCTGTTGGTTAAACAAACATCACTCGGAGGCTTCTGAGCAGCGGGGTTCCCAAGAGAGAAGCGCCGCAGCTGCTACTTGCTACTGATCTGGTGGCATTTCACTTTCTCCCCCACCATTCAGAACAAACCCAGGTTGGGTTCGGCGTCACGCTGGGCACAGGGGAGGAGAGCATGAGAGGACGGCTGTCCACCCGCCTCTAGGCAACCTGCAGCTGGCAGGTCTGCCGCCGCCGCCTCTTCCCTGTTCCCCTCCTCAGGTGGGTGGTGGTGGTGGTGGTGGTGAGTGGGAGGGCTGGTGGGAGGCCACCGAGGCCCTCCAGCATCCTTTTACAAAATCCACTCCCACGTTTGCCTCTTCACTGGATCAGCTTGAAAACCCCAAAACGGCTCTTAGGCGCTGACGCCTGCTGTTTGTAAGGTTTCCAATGACCTGCAGGCACTGCCTTCCCCCACCCCTTACCCCCACCTAAGGGTTTTAAGAAAGAACAGGAGGGGAGAAATACCCAGAGGGAAGGTCAAGGCGAAGTGGGTTTAGCCTAGAGCCGGATGCACGACCGCCTTTCTCCAATAACACACAAATCATTGTCCAGAGAAACCAGCTAATGCAACCTGCGTGGGGACGATTTGTCCCCACACGGACCAGAACTTGAGCTCACTTGAAATCACTAGACGGTGCTGGCCAGGGTGGGCCAAAGAAAGGGTTGTAAGGAACCTAAGCTTGGCCCCTGGCTTCGCAGATGAAGCGGTGCCTAGAGGACGTCTGGTCTCCCGGGGCTGACTGATCCCTTCTTCGCTATCAGAAAACAAACTGGGAGTCGCCGAGAGAGGGGCCTTGGGCCTCAAGCCTTGCTCCAGAGCTGGTCGGAACCCGGGGGGAGCGCCACCACTCAGGCCTGACAGCATGCCGGGAGTCTGGCTCATGCGTGGCCGGGGCAGTTAGGGGACAAGACAGGGCTCATCCGCAGCTTTCAGAGCTCGGGGTCACCACCCTAGCTCACACGCCCAGCGTGGCCAGCGATCCGCGTTCCACGCGCAGCTCCTGCGCCCTGGTGCGGACTGCCAACTGCTGCGGCTGAGCCTTAGCGGCGTGGGCTGCGGGTGCGGAGCTTGCTGGTCTGTCCGGAGGTTACCCCAGCTTTGACTCAGGCCTACTTTGTCGCTCTGCGAGATAGACAGAGGACTTATATTTGAGGGTGCTCAGGAAACTTTTCCCGCCGCCAGAACCCAGGCGTGGTGTGTGCAAAACACGCACCCGAACGCCAGGCACGACCGACACAGAGGACTCCAGAATGGCCTCTCTCCCTCTACCCTTGCCTCCCCCTCAACCTTCAACCTAGTTCCTTCCCCGACCCCTCCCTTCTAAACGTCAAGCTGACGCTAACTTAACAAGGGCAAACAGATTCTTAAGAGAAAATAAAGGGACGAAAAATGAGAAAGAAAGTGGCTTTGGACTGTTCTCCGAACCCCAAATTCCACCCTCCTCAGTACATCCGTTTGCCCCAAAGGTGCCCAATCAATATTCCACCCCGTCTAACGGGCACGCGGGTAGATCATTTCAGTCCCCAGCCCCGATTAGAACTCTTGCGACAAGAGCCCATCATTGGAGGGGTGAATAGTGTCCTGAGCTCTGGGCAATGCCGTTTCCCAAGCTGAGAGGGGGGAAGAAGGCGCACGCGGGGGGCGGTGGGGGGGGTGCTTAGGTGAATCTCTTCTTTTCCTTAACACCAACCTGGCTGACCTGATTCCCGCCCCCCCCTCTCCTTCTTTTCAATGTTTGAATTCCGTGCCTGCCAAAAGTTTCCCACGGGGCACAGACTTCAGAAACACACACAGACACTGCTGCCCGCCCGACTCACGGGGGATTAATACACGCTCCCATTCTGATGAATCGGAGGCTGAAATTGTGACCGTCCTAGAGACGAGTGTGTGCGTGGCAGACGATGGTGGCGGGTCTGCCAGTGTACTCACATCTCCGTAAATACTCTGCCACAACACGTTTCAACCTTTGATCTGATTGAATTGGAGGGACTCGGAAACATGCTTATCCCCACACCACCTTTTCTAAAAAGTGTCCAATCTCCTAGGTATGAACGCTTCAAGTGCTCTACAGCGCTGGCGAGGCTCGGGTTTTCTAAGGTGTCTCCACTCACGGAGCCGCTTTAGCGGGCACTGCTGTTAACTGTGCCCAGGGAAGGCTTCAAGCTGCAGCGGGCGGCTTTCTCAGCATGTGTCACTGAAAGCCAAGGCCCTCTTCAAGAGCCATGTTATCTGAAGAAATCTCGCTGCTATTTTTCATCCAAGATGTCAAACCAGTGTGCCTTTTATATGGCTTTAAGCATTAGAATCCGAGATGTTGGCGTTTGAAATGTCTCGCCTAATAAACTTCAAATTGTCACTCAGACTTAGAAATTGTGTAAATTCTATATTGGACTAATTTTTTTTAACCACCCTGGGGTGCGCGAACCGAAGAAGGGTGACTGGGAAATGATGTTTGTAGCGTATGTGGCAACTTTGCCTACAATTCAAGTGACATTTTTAAAGGTAACCAAGGATGAATTAGTCTTCCTATACATTTTGGGGTCTGATTGACTGGGACTCCGTCAATCATAGGTAGAGAGAGCCTTTAACATCAGATTTAGCGGCCCCAGTGTGGAATCTCTGACACCTACTTTTTAAACCCTAAACCTGTGTTTGCCCATCCTCTTTAAAAGGAAGCCAGACTGACAGGTCTTACTGATACTATCTATGATCGGTTCCAAAGCGGAACAATTTGCACCCCCCACACACACACACAACTCCCTCCTTTATGCCACCCCCCACCCCTTAAAACCTCCACTTTTTCTTTGCTATAGTTTCCCGTGCCTTCCTTCACTCCAGTCTGGGGAGCGCTCCCTTAACTCCGCCGCTGGGAGAACTCCATCATCCGTATCAGTGAAATGGAAAAAAAAAAAAAAAAAACACCACCTTGGTCCTGGAAGAGCCAGTGTGAGCCCGGCGCCGCGGTGCTCAACGCCCGCAGATGGCTCGCGGCGGCCGGAGCGCGGCGATCCAGGCGCCCCAAGCAGTGGCAGGGCGGGGTGGGGGCCGGGGCTGGAGGCCGGGGCGGGGGAGCGCGGGGCCCCTCTCCCCTCCTCTCTCCCCAGCCCCTCACCCCCACCCCTTTTATATATATATGTATTTTTTTTCCTCCCAAGTTCTCTTGCCTCGCTATCCCCCCTTGAATCCGAAGGCGCCTCGCGATTGGGTGCTGGGGCCGGGTACGTCAGTGGGACTGTGACGTGCAGTCTTCCTGTTTCCTTCAGCTGTGTCTTAAAGTAAATCTTGTTGTGGAGCGGAGCCCTCAGCTGAGAGAGCGCTGGGAAAGCGTCCGCCACTGCAGCCTGGGAAGCCGCGCGGCGCACACGAGCCTCACCGCCGCGCCCGCTGCGCCTCGGGCCACCGCGCGGCGCGCCGCGCTCCAGCCCTCGCCTCCTCCTCCGCTCCTCGGCTTTCTCTCTTCTTTCCCCGGCTCCGGGCTCTGCCCTGCGCGCCTCTCCCCTCCCCTCCTCCTTTCTCCCCTCTCCTCTCACCACTCGCCCGGCTCACTCGCTCTCGCACAGACTCACCGACCCCTGGGCCAATTATCACCCGTAAGACATCACCGCGTGCGCGCGTGGGTTTCTTCTCTCTGCCCGAAAGAGAGAGAGAGAGAGAGAGGGAGAGAGAGAGAGAGGGAGAGAGAGGGAGAGAGAGAGTGTGTGTGTGGCTGCGCCCTGCTGCTGCCCGCACCGCGTAAGTATCTTCACCCGGTCGCTGTCCCCTCCCCTTTTCCAGAACCGCTTGCACTGGCTTGTTCTTGAATGGGAAGGAGAGAGAAGAGCCTCCCGTTACTCACACCCGTGTAAACATTCTTTTTCCAGGGGGAAAAATGGTGTTATTTACATGAATCGTAATCAAATAGCCTCTAAAAACAGTTTTCTAAGCAGGAGCCTCAGTGGAACTCCGCGCTCCGCTCCTCCCAGTTACGAAGAGTAAGTGATCCGCTTGGCTTTTATTTCTTTCTCGTGCTGGCTGGTGGCTGGGGTGGCGGTGGCGATGGGGGGAGGCTGGCGTTGCCGGACTTGTCGCTGATCTTGTCACCTTTTGTGTACTGTGCCTGGGGTGCGCTGAGGCTCTGGCTTCCTTTTATTTTATTTTTTATATTTTCCTTTCACTCTTCTCAGGAGAGGGGGCCGCGAGGGGGACCGAGTCCTTTTTTTGTTGTTGTTCTTCTAGATTTCTTGCGGTCTCCCCAGCCTCTTCCTTCCCTTCTCCCGGGGTTGAAACTCCAGGGCCTGTCCCCGGTCCCTTCCCTTTGTCTTGTTTATTCTAGCTGCCTTTCTTCCCGGCTTTTCCTATTTGCCTGGTGTTTGCATACCTTTCACTTCTCCTTTTTAACCCCGGGCCGAGGGCCGGCCGTGGGGAGGAGGGGAGGGGGGGTGCGCCCGGTGACTTTCCTCTCCCTGCGCGTTCAGAGCTGGGAGCTTGCACCCGGCTCTTCAGCCGGGGAGGGACGAGTGGAGGGACCGTCCCGAGGAGCGAGCGCCGCCGTGCCCCTCCACCCAGTCTGCGCGCCTCGCTGGCAAGCACCGAGTAGGGCGAGTTGGCCCAGGAGCCTCAGGAGTCGCCCGTAGGGCCATCGGGACGCGGCGCTGCGGAGGGCCGGCCCCGGGTCGGGGTGTGCTTGGGCCGCCCATAGGCGAGAAGAAGCCCCCAGCCATTACCAGCACGCCCGGGTGGTGGGCAGCTGCGCTCCGGCCTCGGCTGGGTAGTGCGACTGTGTTGCCCCAGTTCCTAGGACTGGGGAGGGAGGAGAGGAGCCCAGCGGAGTGGAGAGGTGAGAGTGATTGTTGCTGAGAAGAACGGCGTGGAGGGCGGGAGGAAGGGGGAGAGCTGCTATCTTGCCTGAACAGACAAGGAGAAGGGACGGGGGAGGGGGGCGGTAGACATCACCCAAAGTCCAGCTGAGCAAGTTGTCGTCGCTTCCACAGTGCCTGCCAGTTAGTCCTGCTAAAACTGAGCGCCTGTGCCGAGAGCGAAGGGGGCCTGGAGAGAGAGCATCGAGCCGCCCTCAGACTCTCCCGCCCCTGGCCAGCTTCTTGGGAAGTTGAGTCCTCGGGGCCGACTCAGGCAGAAGCAGAAGGAGGGGCTGGAGGACAGTCTTGAGCTGCCCAAGGAGGCCGCCGGTTAAGTGTGAAACTGCTGTTCTTGGCAGCCCAGAGCCCTTCGCCTCGGGGAAGGCTGGAAACTCACCTGCTTACTTACATTTTTCCGAGAACATCTGTGTTGTCTCCTTAAGCTTATGAAAATAGAGCAGGCCCAGGGTGGCCTCCTCTCAAAGTCAAGGCTAGAAGAGTCTCCACGTCTTGTTCTCTCTCCTCCCTAGCCCTCCCTCCTTTTACCACCCCGCTCGTACCCCTCTGTTAAAAAAAAAAAAAAAAAATCATTTCCTCTCCTAAACCAGGCAGACAAAAGTCTGTTAGCAGAATGCGCATGGGCAGGGCTGGACAGGTGTGTTGTGTCAAGAAAGACAGGTGCAAGTTTCCTGGGTGTCTGTGTTTCTGTACCGCTCCAGACCACAAGGCTTCAGGGCTGAAGAGGTTCATGAATTTATGGTGGTTCTGGGTAATGGGATTGCCAGGCTAATGGGAATCGGGCTGTTGTGTTCTCAGCCCTTGCCATGAATTTTTTTTTTAATGGAGGTGGGGGTTGTATGTATTTGTTTATTTGTCTTAAGGATGTTGGCAGGTGACTGCTAAGGCCCTGTCTCAGGCTTCTGTCTGCCAAAAGCACACCCCACTTCAGGGTAGCAGGTGGAGGGAGTTGACTTTCTCTTTGCCTCCCTCCAGTTCATGCTTGTCTGGCAGGTCAGTGCTTAGCAGAGAGGGGGGCAGGGAGATCCTTTGTGTGAGTGTGTGTGTGTGTGTGTGTGTGTGTGTGTGTGTGTGTGTGTGTGTGTGTGTTTTGGACAGCAATGGGTAGCTTGTAACTGCCCCAAATACCAAAGTCAGTTCACAAGTGTGACTTGCTGTTAAAGCTTGTGTTTGTAGTTCTTTCCCTGTCTGCCCAGAAAGAATAGGGTTGTGCCTAAACTCTTTCAAGCCCTGTGTTAAACACTCTCATAAAGTGAACTGTGCCTGTCACTGTATCAGACATGTGCCAGGTGTCCTAGAAAGGACTTTGATGGAGAGGGAGAATCTGAGTCTGTGCTAAGGAGCTGGGCTCTGGCGATGTGATGGAAGACCCGGGCAGCCAGTTCTATGAAGAGTTTTTTGCAAGAACTTCTGAGTGTTTTCAGAATGAAACAGGCTGCGTGCAGTGAGAAGGAAGAAAGCCTGCGTGTGTGCCAGGGAAGATGTTGGGAGTTCTGTGTAAGTGCTATATCTGGGTGTCTGGGTTCTTAAAATTTGACCTTCTAGGCTGTTGCTTAAACAGTTTACTTCCTTAAGTTGAGCTGTGTGGGGATAGGTCAGATGGCAGACAGTTTTTGCTGGTTAGTTTTGTTGTTTGGAGGTTGTCTCTGTTTCCATGAAAATGACAGGTATGTGCCACTGAGTCTTTTAACTTAAGCATTAGTCGCCTCCTGCCCCCTCTCCGCTTCCTAGCACTTTCTTTGTATGCTTTTGAAGATTTTTGATAATTAAAATGTCATCCATAGCTATGTTCATATACCTTATTTTTAATAGGCGTTAGTCATGCTTGGCGCTTATTGATATTTTATGTGCCTGTTATGCAGAATTCTATTTAGTTTAATCACCACCTTGTGGGGGAAAAGTCATGCATACACAACATGCATCTTTGTTCTCCGTGTGTTCATTTGCTAGCTCGGCTCCTCTGTAGGCACGCTGTGCAACCTTCAAACCTCCGCTAACTCACTCTGTAAGTTGCTAGGCTCCTTCTCATGTGTTCAAAACTCATCAAGTCCCTTCTTACAAATCTCCTCTACTATTTTAAGCATGGTCTCAACTATATACTATCAATATTAAAATTTGTACTATTTAGTATTCTTAAAGAAATTATAACATGTTAGTGATGTTATAGTGTGAAAACAGATTATTCATGATTGTTGTTATAGGTTTCAAATGTAGTATTCATATAAAGTGGAAGGTAACATAGAAGAAATTTCTCCAATCTCATTGCCTAGTGCATTCCAAAGCTTCGAAGGATATTTTGAGTATTTTGTTTTTTCTGCAAAAAGAAAAAAAAAGTGTAAGTGCATTTTTTAAGATTATTTCTCACATTCTTGTATTTGCCCAATTTGATATTTTGAGTATTTTGGGTTTTCTGCAAAAAGAAAAAAGTGTGAGTGCATTTTTTTAAGATTATTTCTCACACTCTTGTATTTGCCCAATTTGATGAATTACAACTTTTAAATAAGTGGAAATCAATATCTTGGGCAGGTCTCAGAAAATGTTCTGTGTTCATTTTTCAAGTGAAAAATGAATGGAATTTTAGATAGGACGGAAAAATAGCAAATGAAATGGTTACAATTTGAAACCTTTTATTGTAAAAGGAAATTTAAAAGTTGTATCAATAAGATTTCAATCTTTAAAGTATCAACTTATGCCCAGTAGGTTTTCTTAGCCTTATAGCATGTAGAAATATCTCTAAATTAAAAGTTGTTAATTAGCAGAAATGAAGGAGGGGACAGCGAGTGATTAGTGTGTGTGTGTAAATAAAAGTACCTGATTTTCCCCTGTTGAATTCAGGCTGATTTTCAGAATGACTTAAAATATTGATGATGATATTCCTCTTGAAACCATATGACCAGCTTAATTCATTAGAGGCCCCTTAAAGATGACTTTGTAAAAACAATGAAATCCAAGCCATTTCTTTAAATAATTTTATCAACCTGGACAGATATCTGATTAACTGAGGCAGGAAGCCATGCCAGCCTTACACTTCCCATGCCTCATAAAAGATCTGTCTGAACTATCTGGATAATTACCATAATGAAACACTTCTTTGTCTAGAATCTGGGCTCCAGATAGATGTAGTAAAAGTTGCACACCCCCTCCCCAAAATAACTTCTTTATTAAAGTTGAGCCCTGAGCCTCTTCTCTTCATATTGCTGTGTTCCTTTGGAATTCTGTACTGAAAATTATTCTTTACAACATGAAGTCAGCAATGTGCTCTGGCTCGGTCCTCCTTGTGGAACAGAAGGCAGACACTGGGTTTCCAGGAGGCACCTTTAGGAGCAGTTTGATCTGATTGATCATGTCTTGAAGTTGTTTTCCCACTATTTTTTTTTTTAAGGAGGCATCTGCTGTGTGGTGCTGTCTCTTGTACAGGTGTTAGAGCATGAGGTTAGGCTGCGTACCAACCAACGCAACACGTGTTTAATAATTTAACACTTTGACATAGGTTTCCACATGAATTCAAGAGAGATTTATATAACGTGTATTTGGGAAGTAATCATTTGGTCCAGATTCTATTATCACTATTTTTCCATCTTCTTTATACCATTTCTCAGCAGGACTGGCCCAAAGGCTTTATATTGCCTACTTAAGCCCCAAATCAATGTTCAAGTGAAAACATTATAAGAATCCATAGTAATTGGAGTTGAAAACCCACAGCTTAGTTGACATGCTAAGAGATGTGAAATTGGTGGATACCTCCATGGGTTGACACTGTGGATGACTGAGTCCTTATGGAGCATCAGGTTGGCACTGTGGGTGACTAAGTCCTGATGTAGATGTATCATCCTAGAAACGACGGATTAATGGAAACCCTTGGAAAATGTTCTTAGCTGTTTTAATTTTACCACGGTCTCTTGGTAGTGTGTTTTGATGTGGAAATATATTTTTGTACATCCGGTTAATGAAATATGATGCTAGACATGTACTAGGTCAGCCACCTATTATTTTTTAATCTTGCCTATAATGTCCCTGGATTATGGCCCTGATGTGTATGGTCACTCTCCTTTTATTTCTTTTTAAATATTAAGCTGTATGGAGAAATAAAATAATGTGTAGCTGTTAATATAATGCCCTGTCTTGCTGGATAAAATGATTTTTCCCCACTTATTTTGACCTGTTGTTTACATCTCAGCTGGACATTTTACAGGGAGACCTAAAGTATTTGTATTCTCCTTGCCAAAAATAGAAATAAGTCATTATTTAATTTTAAAATGATACCTGATTCAGATTTTTTAAAAATTCAATTCAGCTTGGTGAATTTGGAGGGAGTTATAGGATATTGGGTCTCAGTGGGCCTAGTGTGTATGTTTAATTAATATTTACTCTCCACTGAAGATAAAAGAGTGGTGTTGTCCTACCTTAGAAGAGCCCAGCCTCCTCTTGGCTCTGGCTTGAGGCAGGGATGCAGCTGTTGATACCTAGGCTACATGAGAGGAAGCGCAGTTGACGCAGAGGTGAATGGCAGCTGTGGGAGGAAGGATGCCTGGGATGACCTTGTGCTCATCCACACACTGGCATGTCCTCTGGGAGCCTCTGCTCCAGAGGTGTTCTGCAGAGTCCAAGATGGCCAGGAGGGAAGGCCAGTCTGGGTAGCATGGCGTGTGTGTGTGTGTGTGTGTGTGTGTGTGTGTGTGTGTGTGTGTGTGTGTGTGGGGGGGGGGGTCTGGGGGGGGGGCGCACAGCCAAGAGCTTCAGTCTTCATTGGAAGTCTCTGTGCTGTGCAGGTATTGAAGAGAGAAAAAAGATTTGCACACACATACAAATGATGTAAAAAACTTAAAATGATGGCAAGGAGCCCTGGTTTTAGAGAGTTAATACATGCACAAAAGATTCTTCCTCAATACCACCCATATCCAAGTATTTCTGTGACTCAGAAATCACCCGTTTCCTGTTCTTGCTCTCCCCTGACAGCGGCACCTGCTTTACCTGGCAGGCTCAATGTGCTGTCAGCAAAATACGTGTGGCTGGGTTTTGTCATCCCCAAACCAATTGTATTATTAGTGAATGAGGAGTCTCAGTTGTTCTGAACTTAATTTTGAACCCAGTATTAAAGTCATTGAGATCCCAAACTCCAACTCAAATTCAGGAAATTTTGCTCTGAAGTGTTTCACTCAGACACACAGAGATCTCTAGAAAGAACCACCACCTTGCCTCAGGACACCCTGAAGCAGGCTCTTCTAAAAATATTTTGTCTTCAGAGAAAAACACGAAGAGCAAACAGCATGGTGAAATAGTTGTCATGAAAAAAAAAAAAGCCAACATATTGTTGCCATGTAAGCATGGAGCATTTTCTTGATTTTTACAGATTATTTCATGCTGAAATTATGCCTATTTGCATGGGTAGTCATTCTTTAAAACTAGCCACAGATGTACTCCTAGGGAGCACGTAGATGTTTTTACAGGTGAACCGAAAGAGATGGGAGAGATTCCAAGCACTCCACACGCTGCCTTTGGCAATGGACCCTGTTATTGTGAAGATGTGGTCTGTTAAGCAAATTCGAAGTTCAATATCAGATAAACCCGGCATGAAGGCAGTATTTTCATTTTCTTCATAAAACGTTAATTGTAAACAAAAAGATGTGCTGGTTTTTTTTTGTGTTTTTTTTTTTTTCATGCATATAAAATCTGGAGCTAGTTACTAAGTGACACAATGTATCAAGGGCCTTTGATAAAATGTAGGCAAGGATGTTTCCTTTTTATATCTTGCCCCCTAAAACAATGCTAGTTCACGTACAAAGAAGCCATCTCCCTTTCTCACATATTTGATTGATATTTTATTTTTTATATCTTTCTCCAGTTGCTTCTTCTGTTTAGCTTCCCTACCCCCTTCCTCCGCTTTCCTTGGCATAGGCAACAATATCTACAAATGGTATATATGTAAGAGTTCCTTAGCTGTTTGAAGTACTGTTTTGGCAGATTTCACCAGAACAAAACTGGTACTAAAGATGTGTGTATTCTTGCCTGGCCCCGTAATGCACTGTTACACATACGGGCTCCCAATATGTAGCAACAGCCAGTCTAACTTTCTAACAATTGGAGCCACCAAAAGGATACTGTGACCATTTCTAAACATGTCCTTGTTATATGTGGACACAGCAACAGATACCATACCTGTGAACTCACTGATCAAAACCCATAACTGTGCTAAATAAGCAATACTGAACAATGAGTATCTGCCTTTATCTCGGTGCTTAACAGACCAGTAATATTCTTCCCATTTCACATATGACAGGACTGATTTTTAAATTCAGTAGTAAGTGTGTGCTAAATATCTGCATCTAGTTGAGCCTTCCCTTTCTTCAGTAACATGAATGCCCCAGTGCTTTCCAGATCAGATCTTCATCCAAATTTCATGCGGCCTCAAAATTTAACCCTGTTCCTTAAGTGTAACCCACTCCCCTCTTCCTTTATAATAAGAATCTCAATGCCCCCAGATTTAATCAATTGCTCGTCAGAGGCTGTGTTCTTCTAATCTGCCATTTCTTCCGAAGATAAACAGTATCATTTTAGGCATTTGTGAAAGAGAATCATATTACTGGTGCTTAAGCAGTTTTTGCTTTTTTTTTTTTTTTTAATCTTAATCCATCTTAAACCAGTGGAGCAGAAATATTTAAAAATGTTTCATTTCAAGCGGAGTTCATGATAAATTGCAATAATTGTGATGTGCCATAAATCCCAGAGCCTATGCATTTTGCATTTGATTCAGGATTGAGGTCAGGAAATTTGGAGAAATTTAAAGAAAATGATTCATCAGTCCTTTTGTTCTGTTGGCCAGGGTCCCGGGATTCTTGAGCTGTGCCCAGCTGACGAGCTTTTGAAGATGGCACAATAACTGTCCAGTGATGCCTGACCATGACAGCACAGCCCTCTTAAGCCGGCAAACCAAGAGGAGAAGGGTTGACATTGGAGTGAAAAGGACAGTAGGGACAGCATCTGCATTTTTTGCTAAGGCAAGGGCAACATTTTTCAGTGCCATGAATCCCCAAGGCTCAGAGCAGGATGTTGAATATTCTGTGGTGCAACACGCAGATGGGGAAAAGTCGAACGTACTCCGCAAGCTGCTGAAGAGGGCGAACTCGTATGAAGATGCCATGATGCCTTTTCCAGGAGCAACTATAATTTCCCAGCTGTTGAAAAATAACATGAACAAAAACGGTGGCACCGAGCCCAGTTTCCAAGCCAGCGGCCTCTCCAGCACAGGCTCGGAAGTACATCAGGAGGATATATGCAGCAACTCTTCAAGAGACAGCCCCCCAGAGTGTCTTTCCCCTTTTGGCAGGCCTACTATGAGCCAGTTTGATGTGGATCGCTTATGCGATGAGCACCTGAGAGCAAAGCGCGCCCGGGTTGAGAATATCATCCGGGGTATGAGCCATTCCCCCAGTGTGGCATTAAGGGGCAATGAGAATGAAAGAGAGATGGCCCCGCAGTCTGTTAGTCCCCGAGAAAGTTACAGAGAAAACAAACGCAAGCAGAAGCTGCCCCAGCAGCAGCAACAGAGTTTCCAGCAGCTGGTTTCAGCCCGAAAAGAACAGAAGCGAGAGGAGCGCCGACAGCTGAAACAGCAGCTGGAAGACATGCAGAAGCAGCTGCGCCAGCTGCAGGAGAAGTTCTACCAGGTCTATGACAGCACGGACTCTGAAAATGATGAAGATGGCGACCTGTCTGAAGACAGCATGCGATCGGAGATCCTGGATGCACGGGCCCAGGACTCGGTGGGGCGCTCCGACAGTGAGATGTGTGAGCTGGACCCGGGGCAGTTCATCGACAGGGCTCGAGCCCTGATCAGGGAGCAGGAGATGGCCGAGAACAAGCCGAAGCGAGAAGGCAGCAACAAAGAGAGAGACCACGGGCCAAACTCCTTGCAGCCAGAAGGCAAGCATCTGGCAGAGACCTTAAAACAGGAGCTGAACACGGCCATGTCACAGGTCGTGGACACGGTGGTCAAAGTCTTCTCAGCCAAACCCTCTCGCCAGGTTCCTCAGGTCTTCCCACCTCTCCAGATCCCCCAGGCCAGATTCGCAGTCAATGGGGAAAACCACAATTTTCATACGGCCAACCAGCGCCTGCAGTGCTTTGGTGACGTCATCATTCCGAACCCCCTGGACACCTTTGGCAATGTGCAGATGCCCAGTTCCACAGACCAGACGGAAGCCCTTCCCCTGGTGGTCCGCAAAAACTCATCCGAGCAATCTGCCTCTGGCCCAGCCGCTGGTGGCCACCACCAGACCCTCCACCAGTCGCCTCTTTCCGCCACCGCTGGCTTCACCACCCCGAGCTTCCGCCATCCCTTTCCCCTGCCCTTGATGGCCTACCCATTTCAGAGTCCACTAGGTGCTCCCTCCGGCTCCTTCTCGGGAAAAGATAGAGCCTCTCCTGAGTCCTTAGACTTGACGAGGGACACAACGAGTCTGAGGACCAAGATGTCATCCCATCATCTGAGCCACCACCCCTGTTCACCAGCACACCCACCCAGCACCGCAGAAGGACTCTCTTTGTCACTCATAAAGTCTGAGTGTGGAGATCTTCAAGATATGTCCGACATCTCACCTTACTCGGGAAGCGCAATATCCTTTTATCTTTCCCCTCAAGAACAAACATAAACAAAGCCCGCCCCCCAGCCCACAAAGCTTAGACGCTCACACTATCTATATAGGATGACCTATGTCAATATGGTTTTTGGCGTGTTCTGTGGGGTTTAGTTTTGTTTGGGCCTGGGGACTTTGAGACGGTTTCACTCTGTAGCCCAGACTGGCCTGGCTCCCCCGAGGTGCTCAGAGGACAGGCATGCACCACAGTGCACAGCCAGTACCTGCTTAAGAAGGTAGTCTTTCCTATTACTTAGTATTAGTCCTGTAGGAGCCCTGCACTGGGTGTTTCTGATTGCAGAGAAACTTAAAAACTAACTCCAGCATCTCTGCAACTTGGACAAGTACGTAACTGCCTCTGGGAACTTCTGTAAGACAAATTCCCAACAGCGCTTTTTCCTGCCTCTCTTCCTATGTGACTTTCTCGTTTCCTTTCTTGAGAGCAGATGGAGTGGGGGGAACGATACCTTGTAAATACTGAATTTTATAATGATGGTAAGTTTTAGGACAGAAATAAGGAGAAAAGCCAGTTTTCAGACCTGTGATTCCACCAAGAATTCTCACTGCCAACTGCCTTTGAGGCCACTGTGGCTTCAGAGGTCTGACTAGATCTCACGAAGACAAGGACGCTGTGGGCTAACCCTGGGTGTAGGGAGGGTTTGCATTCTGTCTTTAATCTTAAGTGAGACTTTTTTTTTTTTAAAGGAAATGGGCAGGTACTGATTTATTCAGACGGCGTCAGCCTCTCTGTATCACCAAGGTCTGTTTTGTGGGTCTGGGGCAGCTGCCTGTACGCATGAGTGACCTCTGCTCAGCCAAACACAGAAATCTTTTGTCCTAACATACACAAAGCAAATTATTTTGGAAAACGAGAGAACACAGTTAAATCCAAAACTCAGCTGTATAAAAATGGCCTCTTTAATGACTCTTTTCCATCCTGAACCTGATTCTTAGGTAGAGATGTCAATTATATTTTTAGCAGATCTGTCCTGTACTCCAGTGATTTTTAATTCATAACTTTTTTTCCTTCTACAAGTCAGTCCTTTCAATGTATATATATATTGAAATATATATATAGTGGTTGTTTGTCTTTTGTGTGTAGAGGGAATAGTAGCATTTGGGGGCAGGTGGAGACATGCCTCTTGTATAATAAATTACCAGATGGATATAAAATTTAGCAGTTAAGTTGGCTGTTACTAAACTGAGGATTTTGAGCAATAGTCTTGCTGACAGAGATTGAGATTTTAGTAGCAGAGCCCACCCCATAGGCCGCACAGAGATCCAAGTCCCCAGGATGACAGAAAGATGCTCTCATTCCTCCAGGGCAGCCAGGGTGGATTGGTAAAGTGAGCTAAAGCCACAAGTATGAGACCTCTTGGGCCACTAAGCCCAGAATCACTTCCCAGCCCTAAAAAGACAAGAACATCTCAGGCAAAGAAAGACACTGAGGTCTTAGATCTGAGTCTGAGCTTGTTTGCTGGTTCAACCTCCGTTTTTCAAAACCTAAAATTCAGTGCACCGAAAGTTAAGCCTGTCGGTTGGCTTCTGTATCACCAGCTGGCAATGCATCTTGCTCAAAGCCACTCAGAGCTGCTGGGCAGCAGGAAGGGAAAGGAAGGAGGTAGGATGGCTTGAGCAGTCGTCAACCTAGCCAAGAACACCATCACGTTAGGCTGATTTATGTCTAAGGCTAGACTCCTTGCACCTCAGAGAACTACAATTTAAAACAAATAGGAAAGTAGCAGTGGTTGTTGCCCCCCCCCCCACACACACAGTAACGTGCTCCTCTTAGTGACCAGTTAAGCTAAGTTTCAGAATCCTGAAAGTACACAGAAACGTCTCGCTGATAACACCAGCTTTCTAAGTTTGGACTTGGTATCCTGATCAGACAATTGTAATCATGCCCCTTTTTCTTTCCCTTGGTCTTCTAGGGAGAGAAAAGTCTTTGGTTTGCTTTAAGTATTTGCTAAGCTCACTGTGCTGTCCTCTCTAAATCCCCTGAGGAATTTTGAGGATTTGAAGGGGAAGAGTCCCTTCTCCAGGGTGACTTTTCCTGTGTCCTGCTATATACAGCCTTTTCTGAACAGTGATGGCAGGAGATACCCATGTGGGCCTGAAGTACAGGGTTTTATGTCTGGGGTTGCTTCCTTCCTTCAGGCTCCATGGCCTTGGGCCTCTTGTAATTAGCCATTTTGTTTCTTACATTTTGGCCTCCTAACCTCTGGATTTCTGCTCTCCTCTACTCCATGTCCCTGTGACTGGCCAGCTTGTTACTAGCTCAGGTTTTAGGAAAAGGACAGGCAAACCACTCAGCACTTGATCCCATGGGTGTGGCTCGCCTGACACACACTCCTACTGCTCTACAGAACCATTCTGTTCTGTTTTAGACAAAACAAACAAACAAACAAATAAAGCTCAAGCTTTGATTGATAAAATCTTGAGGAATTGCAGCAAGTAATGTTATACTTCAGTTTTTAGACTACAAGGCCTTAGGGGGGAAATAAATATTGATGGAGTGAGTAGAAATGTACTGGGATGGTACATGAGGACCACCAAACCATTACTGTGCTTTTAAAGTTCTTTAAATTGCCATGAATAACTTCTGTTTTCAGACCCTCAGCATGCTAGGGATTGAGCCCAGGATCTTGTACATGTTAGGTGAACAGCCTGCCCACTGAACAATCACTCCAGGGCTGCATAATCTCTCCCTTCAAGAACACTTCTTTCTTACTCCAAAGGGCATTCCTGTTTCTCAGTGAAGTAGCCATGATAAAGAACAGTAGTGAATGCCGGCTTCTCAAGTGGCTCCAGTCTCTGGGGAACATATTTGTCATATATGCCTTGTAGTCCCTCCAGAAGGAAGGAAGTGAGGGTCGTGTTTGTGCTAAATGGAACCTCAGTGCACCTGGTCAAAAAGCTTGTGTCTTGGGCATAAAACAGTGTGTTCAATATCTTTGCAAATGAATCCGTTTAATCAAATACTAAGTTTTATTCAAATTCCCAAAGAATCACTAGCCAATTGTCTTTCTTTGTGATGTTCCTTGTCTCACATCTTCTTTGCATCTCAAGAAAAATAGCCTTGTGTGCGCCTTTCACATTTGCATCCACCCAGCTCAAGCCCAAGGTTGTCAGATGAACCATTAAGAGATGGGCAGCTGGAGGTCCTCAGCCTCTTCTCTGGGATTGACATTTGCGAAGGAGGCTCACGAATATTCAGGGTTGAGAAGGGAAGACTGTTTCAGGGCACGAATTGAAGTCCAGCCATGAAACACCGGTTTAAAATGATTGTTTTTGTCGTTGTTCTTTTTGGTTTGTTGAGAGAAAGTCTCACTATGTAGTCTAGTCTGGCCTTGAGGTCACAACAATCCTCCTGCCTCAGCATCCCTCATGCTGGGAATATAGGTGTGAAGTGTGATCTTTGACATTTTTAGATGCCTTGGAGGGCCTTGGAATTTAACACATAGATGAAATCTTGAATAGTTATAGGCACCTAACCATCTGGGGGGGGGGGAGTCATTAAAACAGATAAACAAACAAACAAACAAAAAGCCTCCACAGCTCTCTGCTGGTGTCAGACTCCTGGTAGAGCGACAGCCTGCTCCACTGCTGTCACTAAATGAGAGTTTAGCTCTTTTCCTTCCATCCTTTGAATTTTCTTAGGAAAGCCTCAGAGCAAATCAGAGAAGGAAAATTCTTTCCGTTTCAAAGTGTTTAGAACATGGGATAACCCTTTTCCCCGTGTGGAAATGCTGCTCGAAACTCAGAGTTCAACTAGGGGAATTCTTTTTTCCTTCCTGTAGCCTTCAGGGCCTATTCTTCCTGCATTTGCCTTTCTGCTGCCTGAGCTGTTCCTGCTGCGGCTGCTGTTGAGGTAAGGTTATATTGTGCTTGGTAAACAAACCACATTGAGACTCTCAGGTTGTTTGGGCTCTCAGGTCCAGCTGTACCCCTCTCCTCTCCTGATCCTTTATATGCCAAGCAGATGTCTTTCATTAATTTATGGATTTATCATCTTTTCTTTTTTCCTTTTCTTTCTTTTCTTTTTTTTCACACCTGGCAGCCGTCTCAGGTTTCTCCAGTTATTGTCTATTTTGCATTACACATAGAATTGAATGTCATCTGTCTTCACAAAGCTGGGGCTCAGAGAACTGAGGCGAGCTGTGCGAGCTGCCGGGACAGCGCTTGTTTGCACCCCCTCCCCTCCCCCAGCCCTTCACCTCCTTAATATTTATTTGTGCTCATTTTCTTCCCTGGCCTTGAATGGAGCTTAGCTCGTGTTCAGTACAGCTGTATGTTTACTGAATCTATTCCATCGTGAGTCATTGTGCGTGTGTAAGTATCCAGGAAACAGCTAGTGCTTTCTTGGAAGAGCAGTCGCTTTCAGCACAAGCACTTAAAAGGGAAATTAACCAATTGGTCAGTTCAGATTGATTTTGAGGAGGGGAAAAAAAAAGGATTATCTAACTGCTGGCTTTTAAATGTTTCATTAGCTATTTTTAATAGTTTATTAGAAACATATATTTTATGAGATTTTTATCTTAATTACACAAGGATCCAGAGGGACAGAGACAGGTTCTGTGTCCTCTTTGGGCAGATGGTGCCAGGTATTACCAACCAGAAACATCTTTAAGCAAAAACTTGAGCAATCCAAATCAGAATAATGATTTTTTTTCATTAAATAAAAAGCTTCTAAATTCTGATTTAAAAAAAAAGAATGGATTTTTTTTAAATACAAAAAGCTAAAATATCTTAACAAAATTTAGACGCATGGAAAGCCCCAGGGTATTTGGGCATCTTTGTGCCTCTCACACACACAACCCAACAGATTGTCTTTTGTACGACACCAAATCTACAAGATTCGAGACTTAGAATCACAGGCAGGGCCCTCTGAAAGAAAAGATTAGAACCCAGATCGAAGATATTCATCCAAGTTTGGGCTCGCTTAAAACTCTTGTCATGAGGCCGGGAGACAGCTTGCAACTATGATTTCACTTATCCATTTGGGCAGATGGTCCTGAAGTGCCCGGCTCCTTTCGTCGTCTCCGTCAGTCTAATGGAGGTTACTGGAGGGCCTTTCAGCTTTTCCTTGGCACAACAAGTATGTCAGTCATAAATTATCGTCTTTGTAATCATTAAGGACCTTAAACAAAAACACAAGTCCAGTTAAGCTGCTTTGGCTTGCACATTGAAAAATCAAAATTTCTTTCTTCAGTGTTTAGTCTCAGTTAAACACACACACACACACACACACACACAAAGCCACAACAGTTAACTTTTCTATTTAAAAACAACGGCGATCTTCTTTTTTTCCTTTAGCAGCATAGGCTGTACGGGAGGACGTCCTCAGAACACATCCACGGCAGAGGGTTTGGTCAGGAGTAGTCAAGAGCTTATCGATATTAATTTGATTATGAATCTTCAGATCCTTCCTGGTTCCCCACTATTCTTCCAGTTCACAGTGCCGTTCCTAATGGAGGTCACTGGGAACCTGTTCTCTTTCCCGAATGTCTATGTTTATCTGACCTTTCTTCCTAAGGTGTGAAATTTTCCCAGGTAGCTAACTCTGTGTGGGACACACACACACACACACACACACAC